GACGATTGTAATCCAAACATTTCTCTACAAAATGAGACATTCCGCGACTTTGAGTATTTCTCTATCGGCGGCTTATAACAGTTTTTGTGGAAGCCACAAGTTGAATTGGCATAATGTGCATATACAGTTATGTGACGAAATGGCACTAGAAACAGTGGTTTGGAATAACACAAGTTTGTTACGAATTTTCGCGACAAAGAATTGCAGCCCAAATGACGATGAATGTTACAATGAAGCGTCATTCTTCGTAGAACAATTGTTTCTTGCTATATTTGGCTTCGCCATACTCTCGAACCAATCTTATTCACCCTGTCTTTTCCAGTTCTATATCTTTTTGATCCTTTATGTCGATTGATTGTCGTTACCCCTATGGAGTTCCCCTACGCCCTATGCATTCATATCACATTAGCACTGCTTTTTGGAAATTTCCTCTATTTCTTAGGTTTTTCAGCATCACTGTGTATATTTCAGAGCCCTGATCGCCATATTGAGCGTATCAGTAGCGCTTCGTTGACCAAAAGCAACCCAGTTATCAATCAATCGACTAAATAACACATTATTTTTTTCTATTTCTCTCGAAGAAACGTCCGTTTTTCAAATTCATATCTTCTCTTCTGCTTCTCATCTTCTCTTTTGCATTAATTACAAATTTAAAAAAATGTGATCCAAATATTGACATTCGAATGTTGACAGTTTACTACTACAAAAAACGCATGATTTTGATAAATATAAACAGTTGTGCCGCCACAACCTAGCGTACAGCGTCTCTTTTTCTGTATGCCCAATATACGTATCCGAATGTCAAATAGATGGGACGTTGACATATGCAAGGTAAAAATATATTTCATCGGTGATAACACGTGAAATGCTCACGAAAAATTTTCGCGTCATATTTTTCGCACGTGATCACAGGTGAAAGTCGTTAAGTGTATAGCGACCCACGTGCTCACGTTAAAATTTCCGTAGAAAATACCACTTGCGGAAACGCGTGAAAACGTTTCGCGCTAATTTTATTGTGAAAAATACGTTCCTTCACGTTTATTCACACATCAGTTTTTCACGCAATCCATTTCGTGAATAATATTCACGTTTAACCGCAAGTGACAGTTTTTGAATTAGTTTATAAACTAATCCAGCATATATGTCTTACCTGTAATTGTTTACTGTGAGCGTTGCAAGTCTCAGTACCTTTCTCCATGAAAGTCGAAAGATTGCCGGAATTTAGAAAAGATTTTCGTATTTTATTTTAATTTATGTTTCTTCTATCTTCTAGGTTCAATAAATAAAATGATTTTCCTTGCAGTTTATTTTTTTCATACTCTTATTTTTTTCCGACCACACTATTTATCCGTTTCTAAATTATGATCAGTCTTTGGCAACAAACAGAATCTTATTAACGCATAGATCAACGATCTAAAGTGGAAATTCCACCTAGCCATAAGTCTGTTTCATTGGGAGATTTGGGTTACTCGACTGAAAACTATTTTGGTTTAGCCCATCATTTATTTTAACTGTTTTTGTTCTTGGTGTATTTGAGAGGGTAGTGATCGAATTTTGTTATTTCTTGGATATATTTCCTGTTCTAAATCAGATCAGATTTTATATCGTTCTTCACTAATCGATTGTTGATATCGCACATGTAAACTTTTTAGATTTTATAGAGACTTACCTGGCGCAGTACGGTCAGCTCTGATAACCTTAAAAATAACTCGAAATATAGGTTTTCGACTATGTCTCGTCTCGTGGCAATACTTGTTTTTAGAAGAAATTTCAGGGCCTTTCATTATAAAGTACCTTAGTTTTTGAAAAGATTTTCTCGAAACCTCTGAAAGTAAGGGATCTTAACGGCATAACCAGATCTAGGAGATTAGATGGAGTATAAATGACCTTCCTGCTCTTAAATTTCAGTAACACTAAGAAAAAAGTAACAGATTAATCTCTGTTATTATACATATTGCTTTCGAAATTGTCTTCTCATTCATCCAGTAGCTTTGTTAATATTTCAATTTTTTTGAAGTTGCACACAACGTATGATTACTTAATTAACTCAATTTTTTTCAAATAATTTGCTTAACAACACAAAACAAAAAAAAATAGAAAAATATATTTACGCCCAAAAAAAGTCAAAAAAATACATACAAAAAACAATATTAACAAGAAAAGCATAGATATCAGGTAAAATAGATATGAGTGTTCATATGATGATTTCCAGTAAGAAAATATCAATTATTAATGTTGTTTTTTAATCAACATTGACATTAATAACATCATTTGAAGAAATAATACTGGTATCCATCACCATATTAAAACACTCTCATAACCGATTGTCGACATAACACTAGAATGGAGAGACAAAAGAAAATCAAAGAACAATTGTGTTAAACAATCATTAATGATAACTGAACGACTTTAAGATCATAAATAAAATGACATAAATAGTCGCAGTAGAAATGTCAATAATTTTTCGTAAACAAGAACTATAAGGTTTGAATTTAAAACCTGACAATTTGAAATGTTGAAAAAGCGCCGTCTCATTCAGTAGTCTTAGCAATTTATCAAACAGTTTCTTTTTAAAAACCCTATCAAATGCAATTTTACCATTTATCAGTCGTAATATTATGTCCACCAGACAATCGGGTTCTTTAACCTCATCCACCACCCGGTCCCATTCTTCTTGATGATCGTCTCCATCCACCACCACCACTTCCTCCCAATGGATTATGTGTATCCTGGCGATAAACATTTGGTTGAGACTAAAAAAACAAGCAAAAACTAGAGAGCAATTGTACTGCACACAAATTGCGATGTCGACAGACTGTATCCGATCTGAATCTGCCAGAAGCGATTCGCAGTCAACAGGGAGTTCACCACATTACGTTCGTTGGGATTTTAGGTGCTTTAAAAGATAGATTTATAAAAAATGAAATTTGAAGAAGAGAGAAAGAGCTGTCAGAAAAAGAGAAGGAGAGAATTATTTTTCCTCTGAAAAACAAATGGCGCCGGACAACTGAATATACGCAAAATTCAAAGTCCAAAATACATTTTTCTTTCATTTGTGGCGCTTATGGCATCGAATCTGGAACTTTATTTGAGAGAAAAATGTGTATTGATCAATTTTTAATGTCGGGAGATTATCCTCTCGCTTTCAGAAGTTTCCTACGCAGTTCTATAGATCATGTCGTGCATATTTTTTAACAAACATTACTAAACAAACTAGAATGCAATTGTACTGCGCACAAGTTGTGATGTCGACAGACTCAATCTTCTTTGTCTTCTTTCGTTTACCGTCACTTCATTTCTCTTTCCAGTACTTTTTAAAATGACATTTTTCTTTTGATAAACAAATTTTTCTAAAATATGTTTATCTGTTTATATGTAAAAGATTAGTAGGAAAACAGTAGCTCTGTAGATCACGTCGTGCACATTTTGTAAAAAAGATTACTAAAGAAAACAAACAAACGTAAAAAACAACATCTCAGCAAAAACACATCATATCTGTCGGCATAATTATCTCAATACACAGAAGACTAATGTGCACGAAAATATAGCCACGTTCATGTGATGATAAAATTGCTAGACTGCATTTATTTTATCTAAGCAATCCAAATTCATACCGCTCTAGGTAAGGTGGCTGGAGCCGGTGCTGGTTGTGTATATGGCGCCTAAAAAAGCAGAAAAAGACAATAGTGCATGACGATTGTACGCTATATATCTTTACGTACGCCACTACTACCAACTGTGTTTCTACTATAATTTTCAATTCTTTCTTGTTGTAGTTGAGCTTCTTTCTGAATGATAAATACCACACGCGTCAGTCGCTACATTACTTTTTCAAAAACACAAATAAAGCTTACTAATTTTAATTTTTCAGCATATGCTTTTGCTTGTTCATCATGTTGTTGTTGTTGACGTTGACGAACTTGTGCCATACTGTCATAACGACTAATTGTTGCTTGGATGTTATCATGTCCTACAAAAGAATAATGAACATTCTACAATAATGGATTTTCATGGAAAGACGAAACCCGACATTTACGGACACATTGAATTCTGATATGTATTACTTTATAGAATAGAAATACATAGCGATTACTTGTAACTTGGTCTATAACAATTTGATGTAGTCTGTCGACTCAAAGAATGTAACTATTGAGTTATAAAAAACTTACTATGTAAGTTGATTTAGAATGACGATTTTTTGTTCTCGCTTATTATTTTCCTTATTAGTACTCAAACATAAATTATTCGTTAAACTATTTGTGTGGTCATTACTACTGATGATCAAAGCTGAGCAATTCAACTTCGGGGTTGAGCGTCTTTTTGTGCGGAGTTGGAGTTTACTTTTTAAACGATCGGAGTTGAGTTGATAACAGATTTTGTCAACTCCAACTCAGAAACTCCGGTTAAAAATTTCTTCAACTCCTACTACATCAGCTCCTGTGAAGTGTGGTTTTTCACAAACAGATTTTTGGTTTCAATCATATCGTAATGGTATGACAAAGACTATGCTTTCAAAATTAACATGGTTGAAATGTAATTTTGATTTATTATAATAATTTTTTTGTGCAAACTATTATAAAAGAAAACATGACCGTTATACAGACGAAGCAAAAACCAGTAAGGAAAAAGAGCAAATAGATTTTAATTCGGAGTTGGAGTTGGACTTTAGATTTCTTAGGGGAGTTGGAGTTGTCTCTAGTCGGAGTTGTCCATCTCTGCTGATGATTATTAATTGGTAATGTTGATCAGTGATTAACAATGGAAGAATGTCAATGATACCGACCGTACATAATAATAACGTTTTGGAACACAAGCAGAGGAAAGAGCTTTTGAACTTAGAAGACTTCGTTGTGACAAAGGTATCGTACATCCTGTTTATTTCATATGAATCGTCTAATATTTACTGATTTATGTGTAAAAACACAAACGCATTCTTATTACGAAATTCTCTATTTTTTCTGATGTATCTTACAGGTCCATCTAAACGGATGTTCTGCTAGGATAAACAACCATTACTCAAGGATATTTTAGAATATAATTAGCAAACATTCATATCAGTCGTCACGAATATCTGTTTCTCTTCTTTTGGTTGTAATTTACTGATATGCTTATTATTTGTTTGACTCAGATTTATCGTTGCCATTCTCTCTTTTCGATTAATTTCTATAATAATTTTACATGCTTTTTTTCATTTTCGTCTAATATGTTCGAGCGACTGTCAAGGATGGTGAATTATGTAACTGAAATAGTGATAGAACTACTTTCGTTCATGATGAAGGCACATATGTTAATCGTACTCGTTTGGCGTTAGTGATTCTGTTTTTGTTGCGTAGACTGGCAATAACTGTATTGGACTCGAATTGAATACTAATAACTATTATAAACTATTATTCATGAACGATTCTTTCTAAATTGAATTCAATTTTACGTTTGACGTCAGTGTAAACAAATGGAATCACCACAATTTTCAACGTCACTTGATCAGACTTGTGCACAACGATAAAATTATTTATAAATTGCTTAATCGCCAACTTCTTAGTCAAGCATTAATGAATGCTTCATATTCTAATGCAGACACAATTTATCATTCATGGCTAAATAAGCATATACTTTTGATTCTTTTTTCCTTAGGTTTATCGATTGCAGGATATAGACATAGTATAATAAAGTGAGCAACTGAGTACAATTGACATACTAGGGATTATACAAGAAAATGACTGACAGAGATTAATTAGCATCGATTTATTTTTATAAATATGTACAATCAATAACCGTTAAGCTATTGTTACATAGAAATACGAATTTCTTTTATCATCAAGCATTTTTAGATATAAATGATCACCAAAAAAGGATACTTTTGATAACCAAATGGTGATCAATACCCTTAATTTTATTGATAGATATCTATCGTTCTCATCAATGGCTTACGTTCACTGATTTTCTGATACGTCAATAGTCATGTTAGTTAGTGGTATCATCGTAGTCGTGCACATATTCAGTTGGTATGAAACAATATTCCTGTAAACATTCGGTTTGATTAGCTACTTTACTGAATCAAATCAATGATGAAACAGCTATTCAGCCAATAGGAAACATAAAGATATAAACACGTCCAAAGAAAGTTAGAATAGCTTTCCACTCTAAAATATGTTATTTTTCTTCACTTTGTACATATTTTTCTATATTGTATATTGGTTGAGAAATGAATAATCTTAAGGGCGTTGGACACCGTTTGGTTATCAAAAGTATCCTTTTTTGGTGACCATTTGTATCTAAAAATGCTTGGTAATCAGAAGTACATTTTCCTTACATAATGAATGGATTAGTAACAAAGTTGAATACATAAAAAGCTTATCACACATTGACAATTTCAAAGAATAATATTCATTTTCAGAAGAGTTAAAAAATGATGTTAAAGGCCTTTTCGCTTTACTTTATAATGAAGACGAAGGGTTTAAACTAAAAACAGTCAATGTATACTTTGCATAGAAATAACGATGGTCCATTCTCTGCAACTTTTCTTAACGAATATTCTAAACCCTCATCTTTCTATTTAATGGACCATCAAGCAGCACATAAAAATTTAAATTATCGTTCAATCGTTATTTAGAAACTGATTTTTTATTATAAAGAAACTAATATAGTCGTCGTGATAAAAATATTTCAAGAAATATTGACCATGTCAATGTATGATAGCGAAATTTCTTATTGTGTATCATCGTGTGTAAGATATCTCCACAGCAGTTGTCAAAATAGGTCTGTTTCTTTTCCCAAATTTTTCTTCCAGGTAGATGCTGGAAAGATCAAGTCGATTTCAAACTGAAGCAGCTAAAGTATGCGATTAGAGGTTACTTTTTGAATATGTGCATTATGTCTTTTGGGTATCTGTTAGAATAGAGACCATCAACTCGATCCGAATCCTAACCTAAACCTAAGATTGAATCGGATTGAATTTTTTACGGTGAGAATAATGAGATTGCTACAATATCGTACAGAAAAGTTTTGCCTAAGAAACCCTAAGTATTTCTGCTTGCCAAAAACAATTTTCTGGTCGGATAATGGTTCTGTTTTCTCAACCCGTATAGATGTCTACACACCAGAAGTCGAAAATCCCGAAACTTCTAAAATGTATAAAATTCCTCTCTCTATTGATAACTAAAACGAAATCTAAAAATTGCACTTGGTCAATCTATAGTCGCATGCAAAAGACCTCATTTTAAAATCAACCTGAACTCTCCAGCATCTATGTAGACGGCGATTTTTGTAGAAATACGAAGGCCAATAAACGATTTTCAAAGAAAATGTTGTACATTTGCTGGTACATTTTAAAACTTGTAGGAAAATGTTTCGTCTCATTTTGACCATCAAAGTTTGCCCCAGAAATCTACGCGTACAGGAAAAAGTTTGATTGCAATAACTTCGAGGGACAACTAGTATCTTGTCTATGAAGCTACTTGGTTTAAAATCATAGAAAATAGTTCTAGAGTATAAAGAGATATCTGAAAGTAGACACTCTGTACTGTTGACTATCTCAAAAACAATATCATTGAAAAAAGTTTTCATTTTTAAGACAACTAGATTTTCAGTTCATCTTCACTCATAATAACACCATTTTGTCTCCGATACTATGTCACTACATCTCTTCTTTTATTTTCACACAGGAATTCACAGAAGAATTCAATGTACTCAGTATAACGTGTCGAGTATCTACGTTTTATACATAATGTTTCTACTATCTCCAGAGAAAGTATATCTAATATATTCTTCAAATGAATAATCTCAGTATTACTTGTCAGGTATAGTTTGTTAATATAGCATATGAGCAAGCGCTGAAATAACATATGAATAACTTGTACAAAATAACTTTCTATCACTTTTATTACCGAAGAAAACGATAACTTCACAAGAACAAAAAAAAAGAACTTTTAATAATCATTTTGGTTTAAAATACCCAGAGTAGAAGACAGAAATATAAAAGTGTCATTATTTCATACGCATTAACGTTATGTTGCTTTTTTTTTAAACGACTTACTGGTGCCACCTTGTATATGATCACCACTTATACTATCTCGGTCTCGTGCTGATAATCCGCTTGTTGAATCACGATGTCGACGTCGACGAGACAAATTTAACCATAAATAAACGCCAATTAAAATTGATAATATTAGAAATATCATCCATTGTTTAGTCACTAGAATAATAGAAAGAGAAAAAATAAACAATTATAAATTATAAATTATCAAATATTATTTATTGATAAATAGCGAGATCTCTAATTTTAAAAAATAACTACATATACATACACATGGCAATAATTGTTGACAATTTAAAAGATCGATTATCAACTGTTTGATGAAAACCAGGTGTTTCTGATTCAGCTTCATCTTCAATTGTCGCATCATCATCCATCGTCACTTAATCTTTAATAATATGAATAAAACTATAAATATTCTTAGAGAAAATCTAAAAAATAAATATAAAGTGTGATATATTGTCTTCAATCAATATAGATTAAACATTTTTTTTTTCAATTATGTTAGATAGTTTGACACGTGACTTAAACATAAATTATTTTTTAATGAGGAATCCTGTGCATACAACATTCAGATTGCTTAACATGAAAACAAAATGTTTTTTGTTTGTAATACATATTCATTCTATATAACAAGACTTTAGTAGCTATTTCGCTTATTTAGAATGGTCCGTGTATAATACAACAAAGACTAAAATAATGGTACAACGTTTACATATAGTATAAAAATGACACAAAAATGCTTCATGCACGAAAATAACATCGGATTTTTTTTCTTTCCTTCTTTCTATGTACCATCTGTAAATAAATTGATAAAACACAAAACGTTACTCTTAATCTTTGTTGTCTATCTAAATATTTAATGCTTTAACATAAAAATATTCTGATTATGGATTTGTACGATTGAAATGACAACCTATAGATATATATTAGTAATTATTAATGAACTTTTATATACAAAGTCGCTATAATTAGTAATTTTCTACTTTAACGAAGTTTTTTTTTCTGTACCTGTTGCTGTTATATTACTGAAAAAAGATACATTAGTGTACCGAAACGTTTAGAAATAAAAATAAATAAATATTACGAAAGTATTTTTTAAAATAAGAAAAATTACTGACTGATATATATATATATGTCACTAAATTTCTTTCAAAACTAAAAATATCAGCATAAGAAAAATGTACCTTTTATGTTTTCGAAGGTGAGTAGTGAATCTTAGTGATTATTCGCAGATGATTTTCGATTTTCTCTTCATTTCTCAAAAACCTTGTTTGTATCATATAAAAATCAATCTAAAGATTTGAGAAGGTTTAGATATCCTATTTAAGCGTTGTGTATTCGAGTATTTCAAAGCAAAACGTTATTTAAGTGGAATTAGACCAAGCAAAGCAAGTCTCAGACAAATTACTTATACTCGTTGCTTCAGTTTGCGACCTAAAGGCGAACTGTTCGACTAGTCATGGATCTGAATTCCAGAAAAAAAAGAATAAAACCAGCTAGATCATTATTAAGATAGATACAATGATTATAAATAAGAGCGTCCACATAGAAGATAATTTTAATTTTAAGACACTGTAGTATACCGCTCGATGATCCGTGATCTTCTGACACATAAAACAGACATAATGGAAGAAACTAGACAAGATTCAGCTCGTGTGGTATCACAGAAATATCAGTACTAAAAAAACAATTGCCACTACGACAAATAAATATCTAAAATCAGAAATTTGTCAAAAAAATGAGCAGTGATTTTAAATTGTAGCTGTTACATGTCAAGACAGAAAAACGTTTTGCTACAAATACTTTGTAACAGAGTTTATAAATAAATCATATATCTAAAAAATTTTATTTTACACATACACAATACAGACGTCTATGTATAATACAGAGTTACAAAAAGAAAGAAAAAAATGAAGTATAAATGACGTGTAAAATGTTAGTTTTAAATCACTAAAAAAAAATTAATCACGGTAATATGTTTATTGTTCTTTCTTTTGTTCTTTTTCTGGGTTTTCGTCTCTAGTATTTGACGGTGTCGTAGCTGACCAGTAATAACCCAATTGTAATATAAGTATACTGTTGGCCATTGAATTCAAAATATATGTCCATATTAGTGTTTGATCACCTGTTTCTTGATATGATGTAAAAATTCGTGCTAAGCTACCAATAAATAACATTAACATTGTAATAGCTGATAAATTTCCGGTGGATTTAATACGATAGTTACAATAGGCTTGATATAAACGACTTGTTACACTTAGAATCATTGAAGCGGCAGCTAAATTCCATATAATCAATTCTGGAATGAGTTTTTTAACCATTAACACCGTTAATAGACTGCACAAGACTAAAAACAAAAACAAAATAGATTAGATAAACTTTAGTTGATGATAAATATTTTTACTAACATACCTATATAGAGGGCGGCTAGTACATATTTTTTCTCGTAATATAAAACCATTAGAATAACGATAATTGTTTGAATAAATAAAAAATATGTATCACCATAAGACGACAATGGATATTCGGATGTAAATCCATAAGCCATTGAGCCAAAAATAGCTGCCAACATAATTGTTTCAGCAATAACACTAACACCATGACCCGATTTATTCCATCTGATTTTAACAATTTGTGGTACTTTAACGAGTAGTGAGCCAAGCAAAATGGAATAACCAAGGCATTTTGATATTATGATTTTCATACAATCCACGTCAAAAAAATTCATTCGAACAAACATTTCATCATAACAATGTTCAGTAAACAAAAACTGAAGAGCTTGTTGAATTAAAACTCCTAAGCCACTTCTTTCATCATGATGAGATGCGGAAGATTGAAGTGTCGAATGAGAACGAACCATTATTATAATTTTTCGATCTGAAACGGAAAAATGCTAGAATTAACTTAATAGGGTAATTTGCGTCAGAAATAATTCAACTTTAATGTCTATGAGTGCAGGAAGGTTTTTCAATTAAAAGTAGCTGCTTACAAAACGTTATTAAAATAAATATGATATTCATAATCTACGTACAAAGCCAAACCGAATGATGTGATTTTCTGAAAAAACGTTTTTTCGTCATAACTTCTTGCCTTGGTCCCCTCAGGAATCGAGCGAAGTTTTTAGAATCTCCATTCAAAACCAAAACTATATTCGTAATCTACGTACGAAACTGAGTTCAATTATGTATATTTAGCAGAAAAAAATTTTGTCCAAAATTTGTGCCTTTGGTCCCCCTCAGGCACTAATGAGAGTAAATTGAATTTTTTTTGGATTTCGAGTGTTTGGCGCCAAGTTTCTTTTGTCAATTTATAGGTTTTAAGTGATGCTCTTTACGATGGAATAGTCAAAATCTGGATTCCTTAAGTTCCCCATAAAGCGAACTTGTTCCTCATTAGCATTTAACTGTTAGAGATAACTCATTTGCACTCACAAGCTCTCTTATATTAGATTGTCAGACATTCTATCCAATGTAAATTCGAAGAGTAAATTTGGTTGAAATTCTGATTAATGTGTTGTCAACTAAATTTATGATTGATTGCTGGTCAGTGAACAATTTGTAGAAAGGAAAGAAAAAGTGTATGCATACATACAGCGAGAAAATCTCAAGCAAAGAATACCAATAAATAAAAATAACATAATGTAAATAAGAATAACTCAGTTTCAAATCTCAAATTTAGACCACCTATTCAACGTGTCTCGTGTCTGTTTAAACTAATCAAAATGCTTCTTTCTTCCTTTGTCATGTCAAATACTTTAAAGTGTGATTATTTATAAAATTATTGTTAATCACAGTTTAGAGTTTAATATTAGGTTGAGAGTAATTGATTTCGCAAAATAATTTAGTAGATAACGCTACTATCAACTCCCGAATTAACTGCGCTGTACTTACTTTGTCTTTAAATCGCCAAGAAATTAAACTTGAATCAGATCATGCTCCTCGAACAGCCAAGAGGAAGCTATGCATTTAGCTTCAACATATTTTCTATACGCTCAAAAATGCGACTTATTTATATTATATTGTTCACAATACGCTCTTCTATTCCATGATATTTGTGATCAATAGAAAATAGAAGATCTGCAGAATGTTTCATAAAAACTCTTAAATGCTCGACTTAACTAAGTCTACACTTAAGTCATACTTAAGTCTCCGTTTCGTACATGTACGTGTTAATTTTATACGCTTAAGTTTGATTTAGTTAAGTTATTAGTTAAATCGAGCACTTAATAATTTTTATGAAACACCTTCCTGACTCTCGAGAAGAAAATGCAAAGCCTTCAAGGGTCGTATCACAAAAAACCTTAAGTTTGACTTAAGGGACTCTCCCCTCAGGAACGATGTTTTCTTCGAAACCTTCGCAACTGAAGTAACCATACGGTTCAGTATCCCAAAGTGTCATCTTTCAGAATCCATCTCAGTTTGTCAAAAATTCAATGTTTTTGGAGGATTTTGAAAAAGATTTCTGAAAGTTCTAAAAATCACCTTTTTCTAAACTTCACATTTTAATTAAAATTTTTAAGGTTATCCGTTTTAACAAACATGGAGCTATGTTGAGCAGAGTATTCTGATCAGAATGAGATATCCAGCAGGTTTGTACGACTTCGTCTTGCAGAATTACACTAGTTTTGCTAAAGGCGCTGAATTATAACTAATGAAGTGCTTAGAATATGGTTTGGAAGCAGCAAAGTTGTATCAACTCCTAGACGATTCATCATAAAACCTTCATTCTTTTTTTATTTCGAAGCTAAGGCATTTATCGAAAGTTCGAACCGCGTCGATTTTTGAATTTCGTTTTCTGTGCAGAGATAAGTGGCAAATACTCCGCCGAATTATTTTCAGTATAGAGAATGAACCGAAGCGGAATTCAAAAATCGCCCCGGATCAAATTTTAGATTTAGGTGTCTACTTTCATTTGAGGCCTCTCGCAGCTTTCTGCACCTTCCAACAAAAAAGCCTTTACGTTATTGCTAAGAGCCCCATTTGGCCCCTTGTCGCGCAATAACTTGGCAGCGCTTCAACGTTTCGATCTCGAATTCTTAGCATAAGCTAGTAGGACAGTAAGCATTAGTCACTGAAAACGTCATCGAAATCGGATGTAAGATAAAAAAAATTTTTCCTGAGGGGGGTCCTTACGTTAAAATTTGGACTTAAGTCAGACTTAAGTCTTCATTATGTGCACTTACGTGCTAATTTTATACACTTAAGTCTAGACTTTGACTTAAGTTTTTTCGTGATTCGACCCCCAGATAGACAGGATACTGTTATTGCATTAAAAGTATACATAAATCATAAGTAGTATATTTTTTTCAAAACAAATAAAATTTAGAAAAATCCTTAACTTCAGAATAGCATGCCTAACACAACGACTTTTTAAACATTATTAATGTAGAGATGCTCATTCAGATACAGTGCATATAGTAGAATATTGAGACTTTCACAAAAAATTATACACACAATAATTTGATGTTTTAGCCTTTTAAAATAGAAAAATCACACAGCTTAAATGTAGAACATACAATATTTCATTGCTTTTTCTTCAGACACACGCACCCACATCATATTGAGTTTCGTGTTGATTGAAGTTAGTATTGATGTAAATGGCCTGCTAACAACTAGATGATCTTTGTAAGAATCTATAAATAAGGGTTTTCTGGCAGCATCATCGATTCTTTCCGCTTCAATGGTCTATAACTCAAAATCAAGGTACTTTTCTCGAAGCCTGATGATTAACAAATTTTTAAAACCTTGGGAACCGTCTTCAATCTATTTGATTACTGGCACTTGTATTAGTGTATACATTGTTTTATTTATCATGCACTTCCACAAGTTCTCCGTTAGAGTCAAATTAAAAGAGAGATTTGGAATGAAGGTAATGAATAATGAATTTGGTTCCTGAAATAACTCTTTGTCATTAAGTTTTTTAAAAAAATGAGTAGTTTTAATAAGCCTCATTCTCTCATAGATTAAAATACAATTGTTGATGTTGGTTTTGTATTTGAATGCATTATGTTAAATTTTGCTATTCATCGAGGATGATTCACTTGTTCGTCATATACTTAATCTGACAAGAAACTTCGGTACCCGCAAAGGGGAACCTACCTGCTCAGACAAAAATTGATTTGTGATCCAGACAACGTTCTTTTGTGGAATTTATATAAAAGAGCGTCATTTTTTATGCGATTACTCTTAAACATCGTATGTACATGTGTTTGTGTATATGTATGCATGAAAGATAGGCAATGAATTGATATATCTAACTTGCTCTTCCATTAACACTGGTTAATGATGGTGCCGACGTGGTCGTTATATTATCACCACCATTAACCATATTCACACTTATGCTGCCATTATGAGGTATTTTTGGTGTTGTAGGCTCTAACGTGGTATGTTGTCGTCTAATTGCCCAACATTGTGGCTGACGATAAGCTGTGCCTAAAAAGACAGAATGTTGCACATAAGTTGCAGTATTAAGATTTTTCCTCCTACCTCCAGGTCTAACATTTGTCACCGTACCAAATCGAAGTAATTCTTTATGATATTTGATAAAATTGTTTAATTTTCTCGCATCACCAAATGACAGTGACTTTTTATTTAAATGATCTCTTATTTCTGTCGCTGTCATGCCATTTTGTAAACACTTGAATATTTCTTCTTTTGTTTCATCAGTAATGCTCACTGGTAACGGATCTTTTGGTTCATGCCGATGTTCACCACAAGCATAAATCGATATAAACCCATCGGGATGGAACAGGGCGTACATCGCTGCGGGACACGGATAATAGTGTCGACGCATACTAAAGTTACATACATAGTAAACTTTGTAGCCTCGACTATTTGCAGATGTACGCCGCCAAGTCCATCGACAATTATGTTCAGCAGCTGATTCTTCTAAATATGCGTTAAGTTTCATTTGATCATCTAATTTCCTAACATAATCATATTGACGACGACCAAGACGTGTATTACCAATATTTAAAGTTTCAGATAATACAGGTGATTTGGGAGATAATGATTCTTCTAGACAAATCCATAAATAAAGAAAAAGTAAAAGCATTCAGTACGAAATATACCTGGTGACATATCTACAACATAATCAATTGGATTTTTATCGACCAATGGCCTATTATTATTTTTGGATTTTCCATTGGAATTAACTAGGAAACTTTGGTATGCTTGTCCCTTCTAGTAAATACATAAAAAAAGAGGCTGGTTATCTGTGTCCTTAAGACTTTCATCAAGACTAGATACCTCCGACGGATGTGTATTTGAAGGTGAGTCGACATCGAGGTGCCAAACACGATTATTATGTTTGTCTAAATTGTTATTTTTATAATTTGAACGATTTTGTTCATGTGGTTGTGGCGAGTGGAACATTCCGGCAACATCACTTCCCACTCCATTTGTAATCATCGATGTTGATAGAAGATCTGGACGCATAGTAGAATTTGCTAATCCATTTCGATAATATTCACTTATATTTGCATTACGTGAATAAATTGGATGAATATACCCACCACTGGCTTTAACGTTTGGAGGTACGTGCTAGAAAATAAGCTAAAACGTCTTTATTAAAGAATGCTAATTTTTTTTAAACCTACTTGGCCATTCTTCTTAGTCCTGCTATTGTCTTTTCGATTTTTCGATGCTGATATTTCCGTAGATTCTCTTATAGGTTGTGGACCTGTAGTAACATATTGAACTGTCTGGTAACTGCCACTATTATTGCCCAGTAATGGACGATATAATTGCTTATTAATTTGAGCTGACATACTATCAGTTAGTCCAACTGGAGACAGATATGGGCAAGGTAAACGAACTATCATTGGTATTTGACTGTTTTCATTTGACCATGCCATTGGTTCACGTAGCTGTATACCTGAATCATCGTTTTGTAAAACAATATGTTGTTGATCAGTTTTTCTATAAAAATCGCTGAATCTTTCATCTGTATCTTTTAATTCTACCACAAGACGTAGTGGTTCTATTTGTTGTTCAACAATTGGCTCATTTTTAATTATGATATCTGGCTCATCGTCATTATTAGCCTGTGCCACTGCTTCATCCATTTTTATTGTAATATTCTCTTCCTCGTCGTCTTCTTGGTCTTCGACAATGCTCAATTTTGCACAATCATCATGATCAATATCATCTTGGTGATGATTTATTACTTTTTTAAAAAGTGAATATTTTCTCGATTTTTTCTTACTATAATTTTTTCTTGTTTTATTCAAACGTTTTGTTTTATTATGTACACGTTCAACATATGCTAATACACTTGTAAATTTTGTAAGTGCTTCATGTGCTAATTGAAGTTTTTCGCAACATTTTGTACAAATTAATGTTTTATTTGACTCATCAATAATATCATCATCTTTTTCCGCCTCTGTCGGAGATAACAAGCGAAATAAAGATGCATATTTCTCATAACATTCACCATATGTTAGATGTTTACTATCAAGTTCGTTACCAGGTAGTACATCATTCAATGTTTTGCCATTGATAGTAAACCGATTATAACGAGCTTTTATGAGTGTATCACAGATGGAACAACGCACACTGAATGCTATTGGACATTGATTCAATATTTTTGTTTTTGATAAAGCTAAAATTAAAAATCACATAAAGATGAACTTATATTTATCAAGGATCGAAGATTGGAAAACCCATCTATACGAATAGTTGTTTTTCACCGTCGAGAATTGAAAATTTTTGTAGATGAAATCTTTGTATCATTTCCTGACAGAAAAATCTTTTTATAGAAAACTTCCGAGCACGCATAATTTATAAGCATACTTCCTTTTTGTTTCATTATGACTAAGATCTTATGCAATACTTCTATATTACGTTTTATTTTACAGATAATCATATATTTTATAAAACTGAAGTTTACCTGTCCTAAGTAAATAGTTTGAGAAATTGCTAGAAGAAAGAAAGGATATGTGAAAAGAAGTTGACAATAACGGAGAGAACTGATAAAATCTTGAAGCTTCTGGATATAAAATAGTAAATTAGTTATCGAATAGAGGAATGGGGGAATTTATCTGCTTTCTCTCTCTTTGTCTAGCTTATCTCGAAACATATGATGTCAACTATCAAATTTACAGAATCATTGACTATTTGTCATGTCTGCTGTTTCTCACGAAATTTAATCAAATCTTTAAAATTATATTCAATATACTCAGTTCAATGCTTCCAACAGCCCGATCAAACCGGATCCGACGAAGGAACCTACCAGATTTGGTTGATTTTTGTCGGATTCGACCGATCGTATTTAACCTCCCATTGCCAAATTTTCTACGCAGCTTGTTTCACCAAAACGAGAAAATAAAAAACGTGTTTTGTTTCGTTTTTTCGTGCTAAACAACGGATCAAAACGCGTTTTAATGCGTTTTTTAGTATGAAAAAACGAAACAAAACGCGTTTTTCGTTTTCCCATTTTGGTGAGATAAGTCACATATAAAATTTGGTAATGGACCCGATACCTGTGTCTTCTCGTATTCAGTGTTTATCAAAAGCAGGGACGCTACGACTTGGTAAAGTCTGCGTCAAGATAAAAAATAAAAGATAAAAAAGGTGAAAATAAAAAATAAATAATTAAAATTAATTAAAAGGGGTCAACATGTTTTTTGATTGAAATTCGCATAACGACCATCAGTGTACTATCTTTGACTTGAGTACTGCATCTTCATGGCGTTCTATTGATAATTCCTTAATATTGTCATATGTTCAGTTTTTTATTATGTTTTGTTATCCTGATGGATTGCTCAGTTTTATTAACCAGTACCTTAATACTTGTTTAATTAATTTCATTATCGTTTCATTATGTTGTTCATTGGTGACGATTGTTTGTTCAGTTGTTGTTTGTTAACTGTTTATTTGATTATTATTGTCTACATTATTTGAATTTTCAACCTCTTCGTATTCTAATGAATCATCTTCCATGCGTGTTTATATACAGAATAAAGCACAACTATAGAGTATGTTTACGTCGTACAAAAGACATTCGTTCACTAACATAACAGAAAATGATTCAATGTAAAATATTGTCAACAATAAGGCTATAATCCAGTATACAATTTAAGTTCGTTTTAACCCTTTGGCTGCGGGCAATGCAAATATGCGTCATATAAACGGGTGCATTTATAAAAATTTTTAATAAACTGTAAATACACATTAATTTATGATCAAGTATACAGCAGAATAAAAATTTTAATTTTTTCAAAAGAAAACCCGCAACCAAAGGGTTAATGAAGTTCATTGGATAAAAGTGAAGTCATACTCAAGTGGGATTTTTTATGTCACTTAAGTGTGAAAAAAGTTAAGACACCAATCCTGGCGAAGATCTCAATTGTTTCTTAATTACTGGATCAATCTACATAATTACTTCAGTAGAGCATTAAGTACCAAAAATGTTTTTAAAAAGTAGTATTAGTCTTATATACCTTGTTGAGTTAAAGATAACGATCAACCTCAAGCGAGTAAGATGAGCAAAGAAGCTTCTACACAGCTGTTATACAAAAAGAGAAAAATATTCTTAAAAACGATAAATGCTAAATAGGATTGGAAACTTAAGTTAGTAGTGTGAACGCTTCTTCCTAACTCAGATTTAAGTATGAAAAAAAAGTGTAGTATGAATATAGCCTAAGAAAGAAGAACGAAAGAAAGAAAGAAACAAAAGATGTAGATTCCTGTAATATATGGCGGATTTTAAATATATCATAAACTTATTTAGAAATTGTTTGGTTTGACGGAAGATAACTGAACATATTATACTTATAAACTTGATTTAGACTATCATACATACTTTTCCACGTAGCAGTCATCTTCTTTCCTCCTGATACAAAATTAAAGATATATTTAAGTAATAAATATTATTAAATACAAATATTTTTACTTCTAATTTGCTCATATCTCAGTTGGATTTTATCCCTTAGGCTTTATTGATTTTATAAAAGATGCGTCGTGAAATTCTTCACAAAAATATACTAAATATTTTTTATATGCCGTAAAGATAAAAGTATATAGCAAAAATACTGTGAAGCTTCAATCTCGATTACTTTGCATCTCAAAAAACAATTTTTTCAATTTTAGGCCTTTATATTTTGTGAAATAAAAAGCAAGGTGATGGTCATTTGGTGGTCCCTAAAAAGCTCTATCACGTATCTATATTTGAAACTCTTCTTAATCATAATTGGTTGTCGGAGAGTCTGTTTTCTATTATCCAGTTTCTCCGAAATCAACATTTCCAACTGCAGTTATGATGCAGTTAGGAAAACTTTTATAACTCGGCCAAAAGCAAACATTTTGAGATCGGGTTTGGTTTATCTTAAAGTAAAATAATTCTTCTGTTATATCCGTACAAAGAAAGTCCATATTTTTTCTTCTTTTCCAGTGTCACGGAGAAAAAGACAACATTCCCCTTTTTTTGTTAAAGTTTAGTACAATCGTCTTTTGTGCCAGAAAAACACGTTTAAACGGGACCTACGATAGATGAAAAGAAAGACGACACTTCAGAACGCCAGAATTCTCATTCTGATTCCACTATAACGGATTGCACTGTGCTCAAAATAAATTTGTTTCCCTTGACTTTTGGACTGTAGAGTAATCGAGATTGACGCTTCATAGCATTTCTTCTATATTCTTTCATCTTTACGGTATATAAAAAAATGGTTACTATATTTTTTGTAGAGAATTTCACGGCACATCTTTTAAAAAAGTGATCAAGTTTAGGGAATAAAATCCAACTGAGTTATGAGCAAAATACTAAGTGACCGATTTTTTCTGAAGCAACCATCACTTCTGGCTATTCCTTTTGTTTGTTCTTGAGCTATTTCATTAACAAATACATTTTTTATTCTTTTCCTCTCCGTCTAAAGCGGTAAAAAATCGAAAATCACCATGTCACCAGCTAGATGACAAAAACTTAATCATATTAACAATTTCATGCAAACGAGATTTTTCCGCTATTCTTTAGTTTCATGCGATCTATACGTTGTACAATCCGTAGTACCTAATAACTCAGACTTACTGCGAAATAATAATCTGACTTCGTAAATCTACAAAGATTCAAATCTACCAGAGTATTCTGAATTAACTTAGTAGTGTTATTCTTTAAGTTGTTTGCTAGAGAATTACGCTTAACTCTCAACATTCGGATAAAAATCTTTGTTGTGAATGATAACTTTCGTTCACAAGAAATCCTGTTCAAATCTAAAAGTTTCGAAGCCGAGACTTGGCTATGATGCAATACGTACCAATAGCAGACATAAACGTTCACTTTGGATTATCAAACGAAGTAGAGTGTATTCCAAAATAATCTTAGATTATCTTTAGTTAGAACTCTCTTGTTAGAAGACAAAAAAGTTGCAGTTTTCGTATGATGTCCTTATTCATATTAAAAGAAATGAAAAAAATCGAATACATTTTCCCGTTTCATATTGAGTAAACAATTTCTATCACGTGTAGTTTACCCATAGTTTGTTTCTTGTAATGAGTAGTGCATCACTTACTTGAAAAAATTCTATACGATGCTCAATAAACGATTGATGACACAAAAAATATACCTTAGCATCCATCGATAACATAAAAGCCACTTACTTGTAGCATTTTCCACTTGCAACATTTTTCCTCCTAGTTTTTCTTTTTTGCTGGGTTTCTTCACAGTTTGTGTAGGTGTGTGAGTACAAAAAAGTCAAATCAAATAAATTATTTTAATGTATATAGGGGAAAATGCCTCCCTTCTCATTTTTTTTCGAGCTCGTATATTCGTTTTCTTTTTTCTTTTTGTTGACTTTAAGACATGGTATCTTAATAAAAAATTTTTTACATTATATTCTCTATTACTCCTGAAATTTTTTTTTCTCTCTTGTTATTTCGTCACCAAAAAATTTTTCTCAATAAAAATTACAGTTACTGCTCCGTTAAATAAAAACGAAAACGAAATAAATTTAAAAAATCAACTAAGCTCATTTATTAATAAACAACAGAAAGAAGACAAGGGAAGTTGTTGTTCTTTTGTAATCGTGTCACAACGATGAATAATATGCATGAGACACTGCACACATATTGATTAATGCAACCTCTAATCATGACTGTCCTCGTTGACGCCAACCGATTGACAAATAGTAGATGTGAAAGTATTAAAAACGTATGTTTAAAGAATAATTTTTCTGCTAACAGTTTTTATGTTATTGGTAATATAAAACAACATTTCGTTGTATTAATGTACTCTGTGTTCTCTAAAACACAAAGCGTATTTTAAATAACCGACATGGTTCTGTCCAGTTGCTGGTAAACTCTTTTAGGTTTAGTAGAAGTTTTCAAAAAGTTAAAAAGGTTTATGATTGATACTAGACAGTTAAGTTTATGAGAGAAAGTTTCTTAAATCCTAGAAAGGGTCTAGAAGGAATTTTATTTTATTTAAAACCTTCTTTGAGGCTTTTAAAAAATAAAAAGGATTTTCATCGCCACAGTTGTTGCCAAAGGGTTGTTCTTATTTCTATGGAAGCTAAAACTCTTTATTGAATAAAAAAAAATATAGTTGCCGTAACGATCTTACAACGCAAGATGATTTGAATTGATTTTTCGAGAAGATTACCGACTTTTACCTTCATGCAGGGTCATTACTACTTTATCTTTTCCTTGAACTTATAACAGTCGAAGCGTCATAGACAAGATATTCGAACAAAAGAAAAATCGATCAGCGTCATCATAGGTTTTGAATGTTCTTGACAAAGAACATTTTTAGTAATAGCCAAAAATAAAAAGAGTTCTGCTTTTATCACAGGAAGTTAATAGTTTGCGCTAGTC